AAAACAAAACTGACTTTAATAGTCCTAGGTTAGTCTGAATAACATAGGAAGACCCTTTTCTTGTACAGATGAAAAAAGAAAATTAGCCAGGTGCGGTGGCTCACACCTAATTATCCTAGCACTCTAGGAGGCTGAGCTGAGAGGATCACTTGAGCTTAGGAGTTTGAGAACAGCCTGAGCCAGAGCAAAACCCTCATCTCTATTAAAAATAGAAAAATCAACTGGGCATGGTAGTGCATGGCTGTAGTCCCAGCTACTTGGGAGGGTGAGGTAAGAAGATTGCTTGAGCTCAGGAGTTTGAGGTTGCTGTGAGCTATGACGATGCCATGGCACCCTGCACAGGGCAATAAGAGTGAGACTCTCTCAAAAAAAAAAACAAAAAACAAAAAACAAACAAAAAACTCAGCCTTGTGCAGTGGCATGTACCTATAGTCCCTGCTACTTGGAAGATTGAGGTGGGAGGCTCCATTGGACCCAGGAGTTCAAGGATATAGTAAGTTGTAATGGTTTTGCTGCATTCTGGCCTAGGTGACGACAGTGTGAGACCCCATCTCACATACACCAAAAAAAGTCCTAGGTTTATCACACCGGCATTCATATTAACTCATATTAACTTTGAGAAAGATCCTATTTCCTTTCACATGGAGAAATTGAAATACTTGGTGTCTGTAGCTCAGTGGTTAGGGTGCCGGCCACATACATCAAGGCTGGTGGGTTTAAACGCAGCCTGGACCTGCTAAATAACAATGACAACTGCAACAAAAAGTAGCTGGGTGTTGTGGCGGGCGCCTGTAGTCCCAGCTGCTTGGAAGGCTGAGGCAAGAGAATCGCTTCAGCCTGAGAGTTTGAGGTTGCTATGAGCTGTGATGCCATGGCACTCTACCAAGGGCGACATACTGAGACTCTGTCTCAAAAAAAAATTTATTTTTATTTTTTTTTAGCCTACTTTAGTTTGTTCATTGGAGAAAAGAAGCTAAATGTGAGTTAATATGTTTAATTCTGGACCCTGCTGACCGGTACCAATTTAACCCCATCCCTGAATTCCCCAGCAGTTTTCACCTTACTTGTCTTGATTTACCATTAATCTAACAGTCTCTTTTCTTTCTTTCTTTTTTTTTTTGCCATTTTTGGCCAGGGCCGGATTTGAAGCATATGGCTCAAATCTACCTCCCTCCAGCATATAGGACTGGCGCCTTACCCTTTTGAGCCACAGGCGCCACCCCAACAATGTCTCTTTTCAATAGTGCTCAATATCAGCAACTAAGTAAGAGAGTAAGTTTACTGGTTTACCCAGCTCTTGGGATTTAGCCAAAGTTAATGAATATAGGAAAAATAAGAATACGGGAAAAAACAGTCAAACCAGTTCTCTAGGTCCTCAGGTCCAAATGGTTAAATATAATAAATCAAACTTTTAACAACAATATATATATGTATATAAAAAGAAAAAGAAAAATTTTAAAAAGAAAAACTTTAAATGGTAATTTCAGTTTTAGGTGATAATTATAAAGTAATCTATTTATTAGTTCATTTATTTAAAAATCCAAAGTGATTGTATCTAGGTATTCTGTTTAAGATATTATCTAATACTGTATTTAAATAATATTTCTTAGAGATTTTTAACTTAAATCACAATTGCCTCTTTAGCAAGAGTCCACAAATGGTATAATTTCTGTTGTCCAGATTTGCTTATGATGGGCTAAAACGTCAAAGACTTACGGAGCCGATGGTCAGAAACGAAAAGGGTCTTTTAACCTATACCTCCTGGGAGGATGCACTCTCTCGTGTAGCTGGAATGGTAAAAATTTGAAATATAATATAAATAGCGTTTGTGATTTTCAAAAAACATCTTTGCCGTGAAGAGAGGGTGGGAATTTGCGTCTCCTTTCCTCTTACCTAGGTTATGATTAATCTTCCATTTTATAAACATTTATTGAGAACTATATGCCACAGGGATATAAAGACCACAGACAACATGGGTCCTGCCTTCCATAATCTTGTGGTAACTTTGCATAGTTCAGCAGTTATCACATGCTGCTCTTAGTGTATCAGGATGCCTTCCTAGAGAAGGTGTTTCTTTTCAGCAAAGTCTAAGTAACAATGAATATAAGCTTGGTAGAACAAAAGTGGAGGGAATCCACGGGTCAGTGGGGTTTTTTGGTCAGAGAAAGGCAACATACACAGAGGGCTAGAGGGAATAGCCCATACTTCAGAGGAGATTGGATTTAAGATAACTTCATAGTCTTCATTCTCCAGACTTCATCTTGAAGCCCCTTTGTTCCTAAGTATAAAACAGATAGCTTTCTTCTAAGCTAGTGTTATCATTGGCCCCACACAACACCCCTTCTGCTTCTCATGTTGAGATTAATTAATAGTGTAAAATGTTTTAGTCTGATGGGTGTTACTTTTTGGTAGTTGAAATTGACTTTTATTTTCTGAACAGTCATTGTGGTAGTCTTTGCTGAATGTACGGTTTTGGTGATAACCTTTCCGTCCATTTCTAGTTGCAGAGTTTTCAAGGCAAAGATGTGGCAGCAATTGCAGGTGGCTTGGTGGATGCTGAAGCCCTAGTAGCTCTCAAAGATTTGCTCAATAGAGTGGACTCTGACACCTTATGCACTGAAGAAGTCTTCCCCACCGCAGGAGCTGGGTGAGAAATAGGAAGCTAGGATCTAGGTTTTCTTTTTCTTTCAGTTATAAGTTATTATAAAACAACCACATCTGTGGCATCAAACTTAATATATGACAACCTGGATTCTCCACTGTACCTCTCAATTTATTTTCACATATTTACCAAAATCAAACCTATCAAAGAGATAGGAGAATCGGCTGGGCACCTGTAGCTCAAGCGGCTAAGGCACTAGCCACATATATCAGAGCTGGCAGGTTCCAATCCAGCCTGGGCTTGCCAAACAATAATACAACTACAACCAAAAAATAGCTGGGCGTTGTGGCAGGCGCCTGTAGTCCACTTGGGAGGCTGAGGTAAGAGAATTGCTTAAGCCCAGGAGTTGGAGGTTGCTGTGAGCTGTGACACCACGGCACTCTACCCAGGGTGACAGCTTGAGGCTCTGTCTCAAAAAATAAATAAATAAATATATGAAACTTTGATTTAATTTAGAAATACTTAATGAAATTTTTCATCTGAGAATGCCATGGCTGTGATGAAAATGAGAATATTTGGTAGGTTCTTGGTATGTATGAGTTTTAAAGTAAGTTTTCATTTTATATGTTGTGTTTTTTAGCACAGATTTGCGTTCCAATTATCTTCTTAATACTACAATTGCTGGAGTGGAAGAGGCAGATGTTGTCCTTCTGGTTGGTACAAATCCACGTTTTGAGGCACCACTATTTAATGCTAGAATTCGAAAGAGGTTAGTAACAATAGTTATTCAGGGTTTTAAATATAGGTAGTTTTTTTGTTTTATATAGGAAAAATGACATTTTAATTGATTACTAATAGATTTAGTGGTAGTGAGACCCCCCAAAATACTTGAAAGACAATTTCTAACAGGTTCATTCCCCCCAACTTGTTGATTTTTGTCTTGTTAGCTTTTTATTTTAAAATATTTCAAGATCCTTGAAATGGTTTTTGTATGTCATTTTTATGTGTTGTTCACTCAAATTAATTGATGTTAACTTTTTCCCATATTTGTCTTATGCTTCTCAGTTTGTATAAATGTGTGAATATAGTTTTCTGAATCATTGGGAAGTCCGTTGCAGCCATGATGCCCTTTTATGCCTAAATACTTTAGTGAGGATTTCCTAAGAACAAGGGGCATTTTTTTTTTTTTTTTTTTTTT